GGGCTCAATGAGTAGTGATTGTTAGGGGGCTTATTCCTTCACCCACTTACTTCCCTGGTCCTTCTCGCATGAACAGAGACCAACAATACCCGAAGTCCAAAGGTGCAAACAATTCGATGTTTATTGGGGTGAACTTCCAGCAAGCATGATTCCAGTTTCCTTCCTTAGTATCCTCCTTCCCAGCTCTGACACCACAGAGCCATACACCTGTGTCCCTGTTCCCAATCCTGCCCTTAGCAAATATGATTCCAATTTCCTTACCCCCATTCCCTGTTCCCATTTCCCCCTTTAGCAAAACATGGTTCCAATTTCCTTACCCCTATTCCTGTTTCTATCTCCCCCACCCACACACCCACCCCCTCACTTCCTGATTCACTGCAGACTATATAGTAAAACTTGAGTTCTGCTTAGCTATACTTTAACCAATCATTTTCCTGAAATTTAACTAACCAATACCAACATACTGTAACATGATTATGTAAGGTTTCAGAGTAACAGCCATGTTAGTCTGTATTCGCAAAAAGAAAAGGAGTACTTGTGGCATTTTAGAGACTAACCAATTTATTTGAGCATAAGCTTTCGTGAGCTACAGCTCACTTCATCGGATTCATCACTTGTCAGTATGCATCCGATGAAGTGAGCTGTAGCTCACGAAAGCTTATGCTCAAATAAATTGGTTAGTCTCTAAGGTGCCACAAGTACTCCTTTTCTTTTTATGATTATGTAACCAATTAGATCCCACCACCTTAATTAGTTTACACCCAGCAAAATTAATTATACAGCAGACAGGAACAATCACAGAACCAGACAGAGATTATACAGACAAACATAGCAAAGTAGGAACTATAATGACAAAACAATACAGAAGTGAGGATTTCACATCCCAGCTATTGATAAATGAGTTCTTCCCAGACAGGATGCTATCAAACTAAGTTTCCTTTTACATTTTCTAGGCACTTCCCTTTCTCTGGAGGTGACAGGCACTGTCAGGACAGGATTGTATTCCTAACTGCCCAATAGCACCTTCTTTCAATGTGACTAGTTTGGAATGTGAGGAGGTGACCGGTCGCTTCCCAGTTTATGACTGCCTGTTGCTTAGCCAAAGGCCTTAGCCTAAGAACAGGGCCTCAGACTATCACAGTAAGAGAAGGCCCTTACACTGGCAGACAGTGTTCATAGAAGATCATAGAAGATCATAGAATATCAGGGTTGGAAGGGACCTCAGAGGTCATCTAGTCCAACCCCCTGCTCAAAGCAGGACCAATCCCCAATTTTTGCCCCAGATCCCTAAATGGCCCCCTCAAGGATTGAACTCACAACCCTGGGTTTAGCAGGCCAATGCTCAAACCACAGTGATTTTGATTCTTTCTTTTATCTCTCTCTCTAACTAGCCAAGTGATAAGAATACACCTAAATTCTTAGAGCATAGGCCTTTACAGACAGACCTGAATATCTATCTCCTAACAGGTTTCAGAGTAACAGCCGTGTTAGTCTGTATTCGCAAAAAGAAAAGGAGTACTTGTAGCACCTTAGAGACTAACCAATTTATTTGAGCGCTCATGCTCAAATAAATTGGTTAGTCTCTAAGGTGCTACAAGTACTCCTTTTCTATATCCTAACAGTGATCAATGGCTCGATGTCTAGTTGGCAGCGGGTATCAAGCGTAGTGCCCCAGGGGTCAGTCCTGGGGCCAGTTTTGTTCAACATCTTTATCAATGATCTGGATGATGGGATGGATTGCACCCTCAGCAAGTTCGCAGATGACACTAAGATTGGGGGAGAGGTAGATATGCTGGAGGGTAGGGATAGGGTCCAGAGTGACCTAGACAAATTGGAGTATTGGGGCAAAAGAAATCTGATGAGATTCAACAAGGAGAAGCACAGAGCCCTGCACTTAGGAAGGAAAAATCCCATGCACTGCTACAGGCTGGGGACCGACTAGCTAAGCAGCAGTTTTGCAGAAAAGGACCTGGGGATTACAGTGAACGAGAAGCTGGATATGAGTCAGCAGTGTGCCCTTGATGCCAAGAAGGCCAACAGCATATTGGACTGTATTAGAAGGAACACTGCCAGCAGATCGAGGGAAGTGATTATTCCCCCTCTATTCAGGACTGGTGAGACCACACCTGGAGTACTGTGTCCAGTTTTGGGCCCCCCACTACAGAAGGGATGTGGACAAATTGGAGAGAGTCCAGTGGAGGGCAACGAAAATGATTAGAGGGCTGGGCACATGACTTACGAGGAGAGGCTGAGGGAACTGAGCTTATTTAGTCTGCAGAAGAGAAGAGTGAGGGGGGATTTGAGAGCAGCCTTCAACTACCTGAAAGGGACTTCCAAAGAGGATGGAACTCGGCTGTTCTCAGTGGTGGCAGATGACAGAACGAGGAGCAATGGTCTCAAGTTGCAGTGTGGGAGGTGTAGGCTGGATATTAGGAAACACTATTTCACTAGGAGGGTGGTAAAGCACTGGAATGGGTTACCTAGGGAGGTGGTGGAATCTCTATCCTTAGAGGTTTTTAAGGCCCGGCTTGACAAAGCCCTGGCTCGGATGATTTAGTTGGGGTTGGTCCTGCTTTGAGCAGGGGGTTGGACTAGATGACCTCCTGAGGTCTCTTCCAACCCTTATCTTCTATGATTCTATGATTTCTTAAACACATGAAAGTTAAGTTACATAGTCTTTATAACTAATACCTTTCAGAGGAACAGCCGTGTTAGTCTGTATTCGCAAAAAGAAAAGGAGTACTTGTGGCACCTTAGAGACTAACCAATTTATTTGAGCATGAGCTTTCGTGAGCCACAGCTCACTTCATCAGATGTGTACCGTGGAAACACACGGTACACATCTGATGAAGTGAGCTGTGGCTCACGAAAGCTCATGCTCAAATAAATTGGTTAGTCTCTAAGGTGCCACAAGTACTCCTTTTCTTTTAACTAATACCTTGCATTCCAGTTCTAATCTAAGGTGGATAGAAAGTTGGCTAGATTGTCGGGCTCAACAGGTAGTGATCAATGGCTCCATGTCTAGTTGGCAGCCAGTATCAAGAAGAGTGCCCCAAGGGTCGGTCCTCGGGCCGGTTTTGTTCAATATCTTCATAAATGATCTGAAGGATGGTGTGGATTGCACCCTCAGCCAGTTTGCAGATGACACTGAACTGGGAGGAGTGGTAGATACGCTGGAGGGTAGGGATAGGATACAGAGGGTCCTAGACAATTTAGAGGATTGGGCCAAAAGAAATCTGATGAGGTTCAACAAGGACAAGTGCAGAGTCCTGCACTTAGGACGGAAGAATCCCATGCACCGCTACAGACTAGGGACCGAATGGCTCGGCAGCAGTTCTGCAAAGAAGGACCTAGGGGTTACAGTGGACAAGAAGCTGGATATGAGTCAACAGTGTGCCCTTGTTGCCAAGAAGGCCAATGGCATTTTGGGATGTATAAGTAGGGGCATTGCCAGCAGATTGAGGGACGTGATCGTTCCCCTCTGTTCGACATTGGTGAGGCCTTATCTGTGTCCAGTTTTGGGCCCCACACTACAAGAAGGATGTGGAAAAATTGGAAAGAGTCCAGAGGAGGGCAACAAAAATGATTAGGGGACTGGATCACATGAGTTAAGAGGAGAAGCTGAGGGAACTGGGATTGTTCCCAGTCTGCGGAAGAGAAGAATGAGGGGGGATTTGATAGCTGCTTTCAACTACCTGAAAGGGGGTTCCAAAGAGGATGGCTCTAGACTGTTCTCAGTGGTAGCAGATGACAGAACGAGGAGTAATGGTCTCAAGTTGCAGTAGGGGAGGTTTAGGTTGGATATTAGGAAAAACTTTTTCACTAGGAGGGTGGTGAAGCACTGGAATGGGTTACCTAGGGAGGTGGTGGACTTTCCTTCCTTTAGAAGTTTTTAAGGTCAGGCTTAACAAAGCCCTGGCTGGGATGATTTAGTTGGGGATCGGTCCTGCTTTGAGCAGGGGGTTGGACTAGATGACCTCCTGAGGTCCCTTCCAACCCTGATCTTCTATGATTCTATGATTCTAATCCTGGATTTTCATTTATATTACAGTACAGAACATCGGACAGCCACCTCCCACCCTCAGAAAAAAACTCGAATGTTATTTAAAATTGTTCAGACTTTCACACGAGTCATACAGTTTTGCTCATCATCGTCCTGGACCTGGTTGGGTACTCTGGGAAGTGCTTAGTTCTGATTGTTCTGACATTTTATTGACTGCTTGGTAAATGTTTTATTTTGCCCTCAAAAGTCTTTTTTTTTCTTTCTTCTTTTAATGGGTAAGTAACCTAAATCCTGAGCTGTAATCTAACCCCATTGTGCCACTTTGGCACAGGAAAAAAGTGAGAAAGCCCACAGATCTTCCTAGCTGAGGATTCCCTTCCTGTCATTTGTAATAAGGCTCCTTTACATCATGCTTGCAATGTAGGAGCCTTAAAACTTTCACTGGGTTTTATCCTCTGTCTCTGCGGCTGCTCCAGGCACGCTGGAACAGACACTCTGCCTGGGTTGCTGTGGAAGAGGTGCATGTCCCCTGGCAGACTCTTTTCTTTCTTTTTTTTTGCATTTTTCTGTGCGGTGGCGGGGGGCACAGAAATATGTGGGCCCTATGAATTCTGCACCCTTGCAGGGATGCAGAATTCTGTCAGGAGTAAGTAGTGTTTCCATTTTGCCCAGGATTGATGTCAGGTTAACTGGCCCGTAGTTACCCATGTCATCCCACTTGCTCTTTTTGAATATTGGCACAACATTCACACTCTTCCAGTCTTTTGGAGTTTCCCCTGGATTCCAAGTTTTCTTATAAATTAACATCAGAGGCCAGAGGTGATATCAGTCAACTCTTTTAGGACTCTTGGTACAAGTTTTCTAGGCCATCTGACTGGGAAATTATTATCCCTCGTAGGTGCTATTTAACATCCTCCTTAGTTGCTAAGGGATTGGAAATTAGTTCATCACCCTCACATGATATGAGTACATCATCCTGCATTTTTTCCACATGCAGATTGCAGCGGTCATCGACTTAAATACTGGGTCAGAGTTTGTGAAAACTAGTCCCCACACACTGTTCAGAAGAAGATGCAGCATTGCAAGGTGGAATCTGTCATTTCTGTGGGCTGCAGCTCAGCATTGAAGAGGTCTGTGCACCACACTTCAGTTACCCAGATGAATTTAACCCTGTAACATCTGTGTAAGTCTGAGATCCAGCCAAAGCAAGGTCTGTTGGAAAATATGATCCTTTTGAAATTTTCAGCAGGATATTTCCAAGTAATATCTTACAGGGAAGGGCAATCTTTTTGTCTTGTTTGTATAGAACCCAGCACAATGGGGTCCTGGCCCATGATGAGGGCTCTTGGGCGTTATTGCAATTCAGTAATAAGTGTCCTTAAAGGTGACTGTACCGGGTGAATTTGGGACCTGGTCTTCAAACTGTTTGCTCGGCCTTTGAGTGAAACATGTGTTAGCAAAAACAAATACAAAAAGCAATGTTTTAAATGAGCAACTCCCCTCTTCCCTCCTCCGTTTCTCAGGCTTCACTGCCACCGACCCCCTGCTGCCATACCAGACCTAGTCATCTGGGCAGTCCCCTGGGAAAAGTAGGACAGGCAAGGCCAGGGTGTCTAATGTATGAAATAAGGAGGAGAAAACCTTGACCTTTCAGGCCTTCTTTATTCATCGTAAAGCAGCAAGAAAAGGGCATGAGATGTTTTTTCTCCTGTTGTGCAGAGCTCTGTACTCTGCACTGTCCACAGTAAGAGAAGTCCAACTAGCCTGTTACCGTTTACAAAAGTCAGCAAAAGTGGGAGACAAACAGACTGGTCCAAAGTGGATTGTTTAACTTGAAGTGTGATAAGGGGACTGCAAGGCTCCTGCAGAGACAGGGGTTACCATGCCAATGAGCTGAAAGAGTCTAGAAATAGGAGGGAATGTTTGCAGATGAAATCACCCACATGTGTTTTGATTGGTTACTTTTAAGGGGATGAGGCTGTCACCTGTTCTAGGACACTGGTCATGTGGCAGCAGTGGGATGAGTGGACTGGGAGGTGTATGCTTTACCATCAGGGGACCCTGGGATTTCCCAGGAGACTCCCAGCCCTTCATTGTCCTGCCCCTGAAAGGGACCCTGACCACACTGGGCCAGACAGAGGGAACTGATGACATCGCCACATTCATCAGCTTCAGCTAAATCCTGAACAGCACCTGGGACCATGGGCGCCAACTCCGTGGGTGCTCCGGGGATGGAGCACCCAAGGAGGAAAATTAGTGGGTGCTTTGCACCCACCGGCAGCCAAGCTCCCCGCCCCACCTCACCTTTGCCTCCACCTCCTCCCCAAGTGTGCCGCGTCCCCGCTCCTCCGCCTACCTCCCAGTGCTTGCCACCACCAAACAGCTGTTTAGCAGCATAGCAAGCTCCAGGAGGGAGGGAGGAGGAGGAGTGGGAATGTGGCATGCTCAGGGAAGGAGGCAGGGAAGAGGCAGGGCCGGGGCAGGGATTTGGGGAAGGAGTGGGAATAGAGGTAGGGAGGAGGCAGAGTTGGGGCAGGGACTTTGGGGAAGGGTTTGGAATGGGGGAGGGGGTGGGGCTGGGGTGGAGTCAGGGTGGGGGTAGGGGCAGAGGGGGGTCAAGCACCCACCGGCACGAGCAGAAGTCAGTGACTATGCCTGGGACATGAGCTTTAGGCCGTGCTGGCAGTTACGTCCATGTGTGGAATGAATTTTGTTATATGCACCAATATGGAGGTGACGTGTGGTGGGGGTGGGGCTGAGAGGTTTGGGGTGCAGGAGGGGGCTCAGGGCTGGGGCAGAGGGTTGGAGTGCTGTGGGGGGTGAGGGCTCTGGCTGGGGGTGTGGGCTCTGGGGTGGGGCCAGGGATGAGGGGTTTGGGGTGCAGGCTGCCCCAGGGCTGCAGCGGGGAGAGAGGATGCACCCCAGCCCTCTCTTGCCACAGTAGCCTGGGGCGAGGCACCTTTCCCCGGCCATGAAAGCTCTGGGGCCAGGGGAGAGGCACATCTGCCCTCCTGCGTGGCCCATGATAGCCGGCTGCGCAGCTTAGAGGGAACTTAGGCTGTCACCCCCTCCTGTGTGTGTGTGTCATTTTCCTACCTTATTTCTCCTCTCTCTCTCTCTCTCTCTCTCCTTTTGCCTCTGTTTAATAAGAGTCTGGCTTAGCTGCCAAGACAACTCCATCTTTTGCAACACTGTGCAAGCCCTTGACCAGAAAGACAGCTAAAAGCTATCCCTTACACAGCCCACTGCTGGGCCAAGTTTGCCAGATCACAGACGGCGCAGACCGTGTGCTTGGCCTGTGTCTTTCCAGCGGTGAGGCTGCAGCTGCATTTTCTGTCTTTTCTCTCCCCTCTTGCGTGCGTTGGTCTTGTATTTTGAAGGGAAAAGGACTGGACTTCAGCTCCAGCTCAACTCACCTTTTCTACCCCCTCCAGCAGAGGACAGTTAAAATCTGATGTAATATCATCTGAAAGTCTGGTCAGGCAGAGGGTTCCCCCTACATGAGCTCTCTACAGCTAAAAGCAAGAAAGATGTTAAAATAAAAGCCTCACTTAACAAGTTACATTTCAAAGGTTTTGTCTTTTCTCCTTTTCCTGTCTCTAATAAAAGAGAACAGGGAGGGTGGAGCCCGAGCCCTGCTGCCCTGGTCTGAAGCCTCGGCTTCAGCTCCAGCCCCGGGCCTCAGCGAGTCTAACGCTGGCCCTGGCAACCCCATTAAAATGGGGTCCCACAGCAGTCTGAGAACCGCTGATCTCCAGCAAAGTAACCAATCCCAGTCTGCTTAGAGACCATCCTCCCTGTACTGGTGAGCTGCCCCCGCCCCCCTTCCCTGGGCTCACACAGAACTTAGACTAACACACATAAAAAGCATAAAGTAATTCACCTGGAATGGTCCCTTGAAATAATATTAAGTGGCCTGTTAACTCCTCAAGCCATGGCAGGGGTGGGGGTTATAGTTTATTGTAATAAAGCATAAATCTAGTGTCGGGTCTGTGATTTTTAGCATCTAGGAGAATTACGAATTTAATCTCCCAGGCTCCTCTTTTGAAGGTGTTGCGCGGGTTTCCTTTGAGGATGAGGGCTGAGAGGTCAGATATGGAGTGATCGCTGTGTGAGAAGTCTCCACCCACCGGTGACAGGGTGGTTTTGTTTTTTATCATTTTCCTGTGAGAGTTCTGTTGTGAGCACAGTGATTGTCTGGTTTCACCCACATAGTTGTTGTTGGGGCAATTAATGCACTGGATGAGGTACGCCACATGTTGTGATAGGCATATGTAGGACACATGGATCTTGAAAGGTGTATTGCAGGGCGGAGGGGGAGTGTTATGTCTGCAGCTTTTGCATCTGTTCTGTCAGGGTCTGGGGCTGCTTTGAGTTGGCGTGTCCTGGTCTGGTGTTTGAGGGCCAGAAGAGGGGCTTCAGGAAAGATTTCTTTCAGAATGTGGTCTCCATCGAGGATGGGTTGTAAATGCTTCATGATACCCGGCCTGGGGTGCTAGGTGACAGGTAGGGTTGTATGGTCAGAGGGGGGTTATTTCTGTTTTGAAGCAGGTTCTCTTGGGGTATTTAGGTGGCTCGCTCCATGATGTGATTAACTTCTCTAGTGGAATGTCCTTGTTTGGGGAAGGCAGTTGTAAGTGTTACGGTGTTGGAGCCCATCTGGGCAGGCGTAGGCAGTGCTTGTGTAAAGCCAGGAATAGCTGGCTGAGAGAAGGAGGAAACCTGGGGTGAGACAGAAGCCCTGGGACCCTGACCCTGAGGGCAGGGGTTTGCCTAGAGGGGTGGTGGAGAAGAAAGCCTGCAGAAGGTGGAGTAGGAAGAAGCCCAGGGAAATGGCCATGAAGATTGAGATGGGGCAGACCTTGACTGCTGATTGTAGGGTCCCTGGGCTGGCATCCAGAGCAGTGGGGGGGGTCTTGGTTCCCTTACTAGCCCCTGGGAAAGGGGCAGTATTGATTTGGAAGACAGCCTGGAATGGCACCCGGACAGCGTGCCAGTGAGACTGTGTTACCCCCAGAAGAGGAAAGCTGGAGGGCCAAGCCATGAAGAGGAAGCATTGTGACTCCTAGAGAACAGGAGGGGCGGTGATGCAAGCAACTGAAGGAAGAGGGTGTCAGACCAGGCAGAGCTAATCCCTAGATGCAGCCACCCGGGGCACTCAGGAGTGAGTAAACCCCCGACATACCCCATGACAAATTATTCCAGGAACTTCAGGGTAACAGAGTGAGGATCTGTGCAGCAGTCCCAGAGACATCTGGGTAACAGATCACATGATGCTGGGTCTGTGCCGTAGGCTGGGGTGTGGGAATAGTTAATAGTCTCTACATTGTGCCTATCCCTGGAGTCTGCGTGTTTTTCTGTACGCTCTGTTCTTTATCTCAGTTGTGCTGTCTGAGCTTTGACAGAGATAAAGGTCCCATTTGTTGTGCTTTCCCAGTGCGGTGAAATCCACTGATCTAATTTCCTCTTGCTGAGTGAAAGTGGAAGTTGTCCTCCTGGCAGCAACACCTGCAGGAAAGCTGAACCGGACTGGAGGGGCCAGAGCAAGCCCTTTGCTAATCCCATTGTCCCCAAGAGCCCTGCCAAAGCAGAAAGACGGGAGGCAAATGCAGCCAAGAGGGAAGTCCCAGAAAGCTGGAACTCCAAAAGGACTAGCAACCTCGCATTGTCCCCTGACCGCAGGACGCTCTCTGAGCATTCGCTGCTCTCACAGGGGTCACAAAGGTGAAAAGCAAAGATCAAACTTCTCTAGAAAACAAAGGAGTGATTGGGGGGAGAGGCACTGCTTTCTCCTGTGGACCACTCCTGTCGTTCCATGCCTGTCCCCGCGCAGCCAGTCAAACAGGTGGCTGAATTTTAACCCATTTCTAGTGGTACCAGACCCACACCCCAGGTGTTAGGCTTTTGCTCTTTTTTCTGACTTCAGGAGGGTCTCTTCTCTCTACTCACTTTTGCTGCCACGTCGGGGCTGGCAGGAGAGCATGCTAGCGATTTTAGCTTTCATTGGAGTTCCCTATGAGAGGAAGACAAGCTCATTGTCTTGACCCCTGGGTAAGAACTTGTCTTGGCTTGAGCCCTGGGTTTTCACGTAGCTAAAAGGGCCTGCCAGCCGCACCTGACCTAACTAAAACGGAAGAGGTCACAGCTGCAGTCCTCTCTGCGGGCAGCCACTTGAACCTGGGGGCCAGTGCTCAGGTCAAGGTGCGGCGT